GCTTTGCTGGGGTTGTTTTGAAGAACTTTGCAGATCTGAAACAAATCATTTAGGAATGTTCGGTACAGTTGGAGACAGCTGTGATTAACTGGCAGGAACGGTGCGGGTCATCCTCAGATGGCAGTGTCGCCGCGGCAGCTGTGACTCAGAGATGTCAGCTGTTCCACTGTGACGGGCTGCAAATGCCACCTGGACAGGGAGCTAAAATAAACACCAGTTGTAGCATTACTGGCATGCAGCACAAACATTATACATGTGCAACACAGCGAGCGTCTCTGAATAGACCATTCAACTTCACCAGCAGGCAAACAGAAACTACAGAGACAATCCGCCCCTCTCTCTCTGAACTCAATGTGTTTTAGTTTGAGCTTGATGAAAGCTCCAGGTCTTTTGCATGACAACGCCCGCCATAGAGACGCTCAGTGCTCGCTTTCACATTTACTTCACTTAGTACTCTGCTTTTGTCTCGGAGCCACTAGGCACTGCACGTATACTTTCAAATACTCACAGCAGGATGAGCTCTCGCATAGAAGCAATAAGAGCTAATTGATTTTATTTTACAAGACAGTGATATTTATTTTATCCATAAAACAAACACAAGAGCATCACGTTCAGTACTTAAAAAAACACCTAAGCCGTGATATGCTGTAACTCTTGAGAAATAAGGGGAAGCAGGCGTGTTTCACTCAACACTGTTACGTGGGTGACGTACAATTAAGCTTTGTTATGAATTGATTGCTTTATTATGATTCTGTAAGTCAGCCAGTGGCCGGAGGCACTTTTTTTTCCAAGTTGTCTGTCCCATTCTTTGTGAACACGATACCTCAAGAACACAGAGAAAGAACTACTTAAAATGTCTTACAAATGTTCAAGATGAACTAGATATATTTTATATTTTATTAAAGGTTATAGGTCAAATATCGCCTTACAAGAGACCTTACAAACTCCATTTTTGGTTTTGTGAAAATAACATCTCAGGATCACCTTAAGGGAATTTCTTTAAATTTGCAAGGTCATGGTGACCTCATGTTTTTGTAAACATGAGAGGCTTCATCAGGACACCCATCTGGTGGCACAGTTATTCTCATGGACTCAGAGATTACTTGATAGGTATTTTGAGGTCAAAGGTCAAGGTCACTCTGACCTCACAAATCATGTTTTTGGCCTCTTGAACATGAAATCTCTTCCTTTCTTCCAATCGTCATTTGAAATTAAAACATAGGCTGATTCATTCAGTTCAGTTCCATTTAGTTTATTTCAGCCCACAAAACGTATTTTAGATTAGATTCAGTGGTCAAAAGGTCAAAGGTCATGGTTAACTCAGATGAGTCAGCAAAAACATGTATGTAGACTGTTACTTCACTGGTTGGCAGAGGAATACAGCCACTGGGCAGTAATTCTACTTGTAATTCTAGATGTTCACTCCTTTCAAACACTCGTGTTTTGAGGACTTTGGAGTACAAAGCTTGAGCAGGACGCGTGGGAACACTTCTTTGCTCTGTATTTCGGTCATGAAACAGCATTTGCTCTATTTCAGTATTTTCATAATTTAACTGAGAACCGAAAAGCTGCTCTTGACATATTTGAACAGTTATTAGTCATTATTTTAAAGGCCCTTCAATTAGTTGATAGAAAAAAACTGACAAATAAGTCTATTTCTAAACTCTCATGGCGAACAATGATATTGAATGTGCAAGATACTGAACCCCAATTTGCCCCTGACAGCTGCCTGGCAGTGTGTGATAGACACAGTGCTGCACATACATGCTCTGTATGAATGTGTGTGAATGGCAAAACTGTGCTGTGAATCGATTTGAGCTGTCATCAAGATGAGAAAAGAAAAAGACTAGAAAAATACAGACCATTTACCATATGAGCTCTATGAAGACATGAACTGCGACCAAGATGGAGAGGAGTTCATACACATCAAGCATCGACACAGCTCACCACAGACTTCACAGACTTGTTTCAGACTCCAAGAGATTTTGCTTTAACGTTGCTACTGAATTAAATAATCCACTGGATTCAACTGAAACAGGGATTTCACATAACAAGCAACATGCTGTTTGGATTATTTCATATGTTTAACTGTGGTATTGCTGATTAATTGTGTCCTGCGATGACTGGATGAACCAGTCACCTCATTATTAGTTACTGACTCTTTGGATCAGATAGAGAATAGAATATCTAGTACAGCTGGATTGTGTGAGATAATGTTGATGGATGGATGCACCTCAGTGACAGTCGCCCTGGCTGCTGCACGCTGATTGGCTGAGCCAGGCACAGACACCTGTTGATAAACACATGTGCGCCTTTTCCCTACATCGAAATCACTGTGAGGGTTTTAATGTTTTCACACCGACACGAGGGGCAAACAGCTGCTGAACTCACCCTGGCTGCTCTGGAGGAGTAGGGGTCGTCAAACAGGGCCCAGATCTTCGGCTGCCAAACTTCGCAGCAGCCTCTCGACCTGTCGGGACAGTCCTCGATGCCGAACCGCCTCGGCATCTCCCTGTCGTCGTCGGTGTCCTCCGGTTCCGGCGGCTCGAATATCTCCAGGGCTTCCTCCGCGTCCCGGTGCTGCCGGTAGGTCATCCAGCAGCACGGCTCCACGTCCGTCTCGTCGATCCCCCAGAACGCTAGCTCCTCCTCGAACAGTGGCCCGCAGACGTCCGCCGGGCAGTGCAGCTTGCCAGTCCGGTAGTAGTTGAGCACGTAGGCGAAGATGCCCGGGTGTCTGTCGAAGAAGAACTCGGAGGCGCTCGGGGGCACAGCGGCCGGAGCGTCGGAGCCGGGCTGCGGTTCAGGGTCCGCCAGCCACGCCAGGCGGGTCCCCGGCAGCGTCCTCAAGGTGCTCTTGTAGGTCTCATGTCGAGTGCCGCCCACGTTGATGATAATTTTGTCCGAGTCTTCCCCTCTGGACATCTCCTCCTTCAGACATGATTTCGACGGCGGTTTGTTGCCCGACTTGCGCCCCCGGTAAGACGAGACACACACGGAGCTGATCATTGAGAAGCAGTGACCCTCTGGCTGTTCGCCCTCTCCTCCGTTACTAGCTGTTGTCCACTCGTACAAAAAAAAAGAAAATCAAAAAATCAGCGCAAAGTGGGTCCTCATTTCAGATCCCGGTGCTTGTGATGGCCTGTGAGCCTCATGTATTCACCTGATGATCCAGACGCTCAAAGTGAGACGCGCAATAAAAAACCACCTGTTACCAAACTCAGTCTTGCGCCGCAACAAAACACAGAGCTGTTTATCGTCGAATAAAGCACACAGTGATTTACGCAGATGCCTCCAGGTGTTGCACTAATTTCTGGTTCGTGAACGCGAGGATGCTGCCGATAAAAAGGAGGAATATTGGCTAAATTACGCACGCATTACGCAGGTATAGCGCGGGCCTATACAGCATGAAGCGCCGATCCTGGACTAACGTGTCACTTCTCTACAATTTCAAGCGCACAAAAACGCACAACTGTCCCTGACAACTTTTCTCTTTTCCACAGAAGACGCCTGAAGAGGACGCAGACGCGCGTTTAACACCATTCAATGCGTGAAGATATCCCAGTGGCTCGTCCTCCGCGTGCCAGATGTGTTGTTTTTTTCAGCTGGGGATCTGTTGCTCCTCCACATGTAGCCTGTCCTCCCTCAGCGACACAGCCCGGTTGGATGGTGCGTTTCAACGACAGCCTCGACGGTTTAACTCTTTGGCTGCTGGCAGCGGTTGGCGCATTATTGAACCACTCCCTCTAATTAGACCGAGAGGATGGGCTGATAAGGTCTGTGCATGTGTGTGTGTGTGCGTCTATAATTATGAGGGCCAATTTAGGTGCCATCATTGTGAGGACATTTTCCTTGGTCCTCAAAAATCCAACGGTCTGTTTGAGGGTTAAGACTTGGTTTAAGGGTTAGGGTTAGAATTAGGTGTAGGTTAAGGTAAGGGGTTAGACATCGTGGATGTTTAAAAAAAAGGTGTGTGTATGTGAGGCATTTCGATGTGATGGTTAAGGTTAGGGGCTGGGGGATGCATCATGGGTCTCTCTATAAACAAGTCCCCATAATGTAATCTTATGTAATCATTATATTTTATGGTCAATACACATTTTAAGATTAGGTTAGGGTGGGGGTTAGGTTGTGTGTGTGTGTGTGTGTGTGAGAGAGAGAGAGAGAGAGAGAGAGAGAGGGGGAGAGAGAGAGAATCTGTTGTGGTTGTTTTTGTAAGCTTTATCATTTTTTTCTCCAGACTGTTAATATGTACATTATCAGGTGTGGATCTTCATGGGAACAGGCTGACATATCAACAAAATACAAATTTAATGGATGATATTGAAACCCAGTAACAAAAAGTACAAACAGAACTGAAAGTCAGTGGGTTGTACTGGTGTTTATGAAGTGTCTGCTGCTGCATGTGAAAGTGTAAGGGGCACACAGTACCTGAACCCGCTGARRSATGGAGTGTTACCATRACACAWCCTGAAGAGCTGCACACAAACAATTTACTGATGTCTCACAATACAAACAACTACACAAACAAATCATAGAATTTCTTCTCTCAGATAATTTCCWGGAGGAGCCAAAGATCACTATCAACATTATGTTATGATGCCGCTACAAGTGTGATCTTTATTTACAGTCTATGGATCCATCAGGGAGCTCTGAGTCCCTCCTCCTGTGTCAGAGAACTCATGATGTTGCTGACGTGGTTTGATATTGCCACCTAGCGGATTGTTTAGRGAACAACAAGCTCCTTGACAAGACAACAAGTTTTCACTGCAAATACTTTTGACTGTAAATCTGTGTGTGTCTGTTTATACATTTTATGCTTGTGTTTATTGGTCAGCTTGTAGTTCAGGGATGTTTCAGAGGAACCTGTGGAGGCCCAACACAATTGTTGTTMCAGTGGATTAACATGATCAGCCATTCTCTGGGGTCTCCTGTTGCAATGTTATTTTATGAATTAGACAACATGAACTCATTGGATCAAAATCCAAAAGGTTTATTTCAGTGAAAGAAAGACCTCAGGATACAGAGTCATATAACTGAGTCACAGGCTGAACTATCAGACCATTAGCTGTAACATTGCATCAGGAAACATGGATTTGGATGGACCACCATCAAAGCTTTAGGGTTAGAGAGGSTAAAATCCTGTTGAAGAAGTTTCTTTCCTTTGGCTTTTCCCTCCTTTTTACTTTTCTTTTGATCCCACCCTCTCTTTTTATCAGCACATGAAAGAAATGACCAAGTCTGCCTTTTTTGYCTCACAGTGTGCAARATGACACCAATTCTGTCTTTCAGGGCCATGGCTGAGGCTGAGACCCCCATTCTCTGTTTTCTGTGATCCAGATTTGAATACTACACRTTGTTTTCAGGCCTCATGCTTGTAGTGCAGTTCAAGAATTCAAATTCAAGGTTTAATTCCATCCTGTGGTCTCTGCTCTCAGAAAATAGGACCATTATTTCCCTGACTGCAGGGCCTTTGTTTTCAATTCCAGGAGCAAATTTTGTAAAACAGTTTTTGAAAATACGTCTCAAATACTTTGATGTTTTCATAAAACTTTATTTAAAATACAATGTGAGTGGACACAAGGAAAAGTGAACAAAGCAGAAATAATGAGTAAAAGTGGATGCAAACGAGGAAAGAAAACTCAATTTAATGTTCAAACATCATAGCCATGTGAAATATTGACATGACTTTCATGTTATTAGTCCACCTCCTCAATAGTGGGACCCTGAGCGTTGCCTCCTGCATGGCCGCTGCTGCCTCCTGGTGGTGGTGCCGCTCCCTGGTACAGCTTTGTCACAATCGGATTGCACACCTTCTCTAGTTCCTTCTGCTGGTGCTCATACTCGTCCTTCTCTGCCAGCTGGTTGTTCTCCAGCCAGGAGATTGTCTGGTTGCACTTGTCAATGACAATTTTTTTGTCCTCCTCCTGAATCTTTCCTTTCATACTGTCATCCTCAACGCTGCTCTTCATGTGGTAAACGTAACTCTCCAGTGAGTTCCTTGCTGAAATCGTGTCCCTCTTCAGCTCGTCATCAGCCTTGTACTTCTCAGCATCCTGTACCATCTGCTCAATCTCCTGTTTGCTGAGGCGGCCCTTGTCATTTGTGATGGTGATTTTGTTTTCTTTGCCGGTGCTTTTGTCGACAGCAGACACGTTCAGAATTCCGTTGGCATCAATGTCGAAAGTTACCTCCACCTGCGGTACGCCTCGGGGAGCAGGAGGGATGCCAGCGAGCTCAAACTTGCCCAGGAGGTTGTTGTCCTTGGTCATGGCTCTCTCGCCCTCATACACCTGAATTAGCACACCAGGRTGGTTATCTGAGTAGGTGGWGAAGATCTGGGTTTGCTTGGTGGGGATAGTTGTGTTGCGTTTGATCAGAGGTGTCATGACTCCACCAGCAGTCTCAATACCCAGAGACAGGGGAGCCACGTCCAGCAGCAGCAGATCTTGGACGTTCTCCGAAGTGTCACCCATGAGGATAGCAGCCTGGACTGCTGCACCATAAGCCACAGCTTCATCTGGGTTGATACTCTTGTTCAGTTCTCTGCCATTYAAGAAATCTTGCAAGAACTTCTGGATTTTGGGAATTCTTGTGGAGCCACCAACCAGGACGATTTCATGGATCTTGGACTTATCCATCTTGGAATCTTGTAGGGCTTTCTCCACTGGCTCCAGTGTTCCCCTGAAGAGATCTGAGTTGAGCTCCTCAAAGCGTGCCCTTGTGATGGAGGTGTAGAAGTCGATGCCCTCAAACAGAGAGTCYATTTCAATGCTGGCCTGGGTGCTTGAGGACAGGGTCCTCTTCGCTCTCTCACAAGCTGTGCGCAGTCTCCTAACTGCTCTCTTATTTTGGCTGATGTCTTTCTTGTACTTTCTTTTAAATTCCTCGAGGAAGTGACTGACCATCCGATTGTCAAAGTCCTCCCCACCAAGGTGTGTGTCTCCTGCAGTGGCTTTTACCTCAAAGATGCCGTCCTCAATGGTCAGGATGGACACGTCAAAGGTGCCTCCACCGAGATCAAAGATGAGCACYTTGCGCTCTCCTCTTTTACCTTTATCTAAGCCGTAGGCAATCGCTGCTGCTGTGGGTTCGTTGATGATCCTCAGAATATTCAGACCAGAGATCACTCCAGCATCCTTAGTGGCTTGCCTCTGAGAATCATTGAAATAAGCTGGCACTGTGATGACTGCATTTGAAACCTTTTGTCCCAGGTAGGCCTCAGCTATCTCCTTCATTTTAACCAGGACCATTGACGAGATTTCTTCAGGGTAGAAGGCCTTGGTTTCGCCTTTATACTCCACCTGAACTTTGGGCTTTCCGTTATCACTGATCACCTTGAAAGGCCAAAGTTTCATGTCGGACTGGACGATGGAGTCATTAAACTTTCTTCCTATTAGTCGCTTGGCYTCAAATATTGTATTGGTGGGGTTCATGGCAACCTGGTTCTTGGCAGCATCTCCAATGAGCCTCTCTGTGTCYGTAAAGGCCACATAGCTGGGAGTTGTCCTGTTGCCCTGGTCGTTGGCAATGATCTCCACTTTGCCATGTTGGAAAACCCCAACACAAGAATAGGTGGTTCCCAAATCAATGCCAATGGATATTCCCTTCGCTGAAGACATCCTGTTTGTTCCTTTAAAGATCAACAAAAATTGGGGAGAAATTATAGTTTCAGTTTTTTATGCTACTCA